CCAGCTAATTTTTTATTTTTATTGTAGAGATGAGGTCTCACCAAGTTGCCCAGACGGGTCTCGAACCCGCGGGCTCAGGCAATCCACTCACCTCAGCCACTCAACGTGCTGGGATTACAGACTGAGCCACCGAGCCCGGCTTCCTTTGTGCTTTCAAATCGGCTACCACCTGCCATCGTGGGATGATGGCTGTGTCTTCTTACTGGCTTTAAGAGTCTGTGTTCTTCTGGCACTGGCATTTGAGCTCTTACAGAATTGTTCCTTTGTATGTAAATATACGGTTTGGTTGTTTTTTTTTTTTCAACTTAAGAAAAGGTAAAGTGGAACCCGGCATGATTTTGTTACCCGCACACACTGCACTCACTGCCAATGAATGACTGTCAAAACTTGTTGGCTTCAAAGGAAAGGCAGCTGTTGGCAATTCCAACTGCCTTCAAATGTTGATGTGTTCCTTTTGAAAACTCCAAAATAACCTTTGGGTGAAGAGTTTTGAATGAAACTGATTTTGGAGGAGTGGAGAGGGTGCGTTTCATTAGAAGCGACTCAGATGACCCACATGGTTAATCACGGAATAGGCGCCTGTCACGTTGAGAGAGTGATCTTTTGACCTTTCACAGTAAGCTATACTTTCCCGCGGAAGCATAATGATCCTATTTGCCAAACACATTTCTCACTGATAGACTCCTAAAACCAAACGTTAGCCAGTGCGTGACATCAGGGCGCACGTTCCTGTAGTCAATCGACTGGTTCGAGTTGTGGAGTTGGACTTTGCAGAGAATGGCATTAGAAACAATTATTTTTGTATCCTGATCTTCCCAGTTAAGCTCTCCTCCTGCACTAGACCTCTCTCCCTCTGTGTGTCTCTCTGTGTGTCACTCACTCTCTGTCACTGTCTCTCTTTCTCTCTCTCACTTTATCTGTCTTTCTGTCACTCTGTCTCTCTCTGTCATTCTCTCTCTTTCTTTCTCCTTTTTCTCTCCCTTTCCCTTTTTTCCCTTACCTCTTTCTCCTTCCATTTCTCTCCCTCCCCCATCCCTACCTCCTTCCCCCTCTCTTTTTTATCTCTTTCTCAGTCTCTCTCCCCCTTCCTCTCTGTCCCATCTCTCTCTCTCTCTCTCTCTCTCTCTCTCTCTCTCTCTCCCCCTCTCCCTTTCCCTCTCCTTCTCTCTCCCATTCCACTC